TAGTGCAATAAATGAAAATAAGAAGAATAATTTTCAATGATTTTGTTCTTGACAAATATTATTCAGGATATGATCTTGAACATTCGAAAGGTTTTAGCCATCAATCGGACACCTTGCGTAGTACTAAGGGCTGTCACAGACAAAATTTCTGTAACAGTAACCTTAAGACGTGAACTTAAGCCGATGAGCCAATCAGGATATTGCTTTAGATCTATGTACTCTAACGGAAATAGAAATAACCTTATCCATAAGATGAGTTTCAACCGGTTGAAATTCACCGTATTGCGAGATTATGGATAAGTTTACTGTTATTTCCATTTCCGTTAAATTACGTAGATCTAAAACAATACCCTAATTGGCTCATCGGCTTAAGTTTACGTCTTACGGTCACTGTTGCGGAATTTTATGTGCGGCAGCCCTAATGCCAGGGGTACTGTAACTTTTGAGCCCTATAACTCAAAAAGTACTTAATGAAAAATAATTCTATTATAGTATTTTGAAAGGCTTTCGGTATCGACTATTAAATTTTGGAATTAAAAGTAGGGTGTTCCATAAAAAAAAAATGAAGCTCACGCGCACACACGCACTCTATTCTGTCCTACATTAACACATCATTAACGTGGGATGGAATAAATTTGCCATGGTTACGAATCTTATTTTATTTGTAAAAATTTTTAATAATAATAAAAAATATCTTTAGTAGATACAATTCATACGCAATTCAAAAAATCTCTATACTTTCATTTATTCCATTTTAATTTTATGTTCCTACTGCTATATTTCTGAATATCTCATTTTAAATAAGGCCAAACAACTCATTTTGTTGGGAGATCAAATATTATGTTAGTGATACTATACTTTTGTAAGGAACGTGAGACATTTGCTATGCAATCGACCAAAAGCGTTTTGTAAAGATGATTATGGTTCATCGCAATGTCCACAGTAATCATGCTCGATTGCAAGGTGCCGACAGTTCACTTAAAAAAAAAAGACGATCGATTTCTCACGCGTATTCGCGAAAATTATATGTTCCGCGATCTCCTCCCCGTACAAATTGCTCTTATTATTACGTGACGCACGTGCGTAAGATGGGATACGATAAGAAAGCAGTTCTGCTTTTGCACAACGGAAACCAAAAACATTATGCACTATATTATAAAGATTCATTTTTTATAACTTGTATAATATCGCACACAAATAATTAATTTTGTTAATTCAAACATATAATTTCATATGTTGGTAATATTATTATTTATGCAAAACCACACATTAATCGTCAATAATGCAAAAATTCGAAAGTTATGAATTTTTATATTTATTATAGATAGACTCATTTTCTTCCTTATTATAAATTGTTTCGTAAGTAATATTTTAATTGGTACTATTGAACGTTCGATCGATAGAAACTAAAAAATTCGCGTGATTAAATCTTTGATATTTTACAAAAATACAAATTATATGAAGGAAAGAAAAGGCACTTCAATTATTACCATATGTGAATGGCCATTATTAATAATAATCGATAAATCAATTACAATATTATTGGATTGCTGCTATTTACAGGTTGGCTGCGTTCTCTAGCTATAATCTGATATATAGAAACGCTCGAGATACTTTTGCGTGAGCATACCGATGCTTTTTTACTTTTAACAGCACTGCAAGTATCATCCTTGTTACGGACTAATCCGTTGTTCAATCAGAGAGATGCGCCTTATGCCTGGATTCCATGGATTCCTTTGCGTTCCATAAGCACGTCTTATTAGAATATATTTTTACTTCATATTCTTCATCTCAAAACATATATTTTTTATAGTGTAAAATATCCTGCCCACAACATTAGCAGTCAGCATTTTTACACTACTATTATCTTTCTTCTCTTTAATTTATTTTAAATAAAAAATTAAAAATAAAATTTTAAATATAAATACGTTTATTATAAATTATAATTTAGGCATAAAAGCTCATGCATATTCGTCTTATTAAATTCATTAGGAAATTAGATTTAAACAAATATTGATAGAAGAAAAGTAAAAAGATTACACACTATACGGACAACTTATTTGTAGTTTTCATCAGATGGAGCGTTATATACTATGTTATATATCGTGAAACAGTGTACAATTTCGACCGCAATTTAATTAGACATTCAAATCTGCGTATACTTGAAGAGATATATGAATAAGTTTAAAGAATGCAATTGTGGGAGGTCTTCTTAGAAGAGTTAAGGTGTGAATGCACAATTTGATTCTCGATCCATTTGCATATGGACCTAAGATTTCAAATCTTAATTGATACACCGAAAATATAATATAGTGATTAAATATTTTATAGTAGTCGCAACTATGCGATTAACTTAACACAAAAATCGACGATGAATATTCTTTCTATACGTGATTCGTTGAAATTTTGATACGATCTCGCAGCCATTTTAGTGTTTCACTATGACTCTTTTCTTATATGTCTTGAGATAATTGTTTAATTTAAAAAAAAAAAGTCATAATTGATATCGATTTGATGCATAATTATGTTAGTTAAGTTATTTAAAATTATTCCTGTATTTATACTTTTCGTCATCAATTCGCATATTTTTAACTTAACCAAATAATCTCAAAACTAATTTTATTAACATTCTCAGAAGGCCATAAGAGAATTTCATAACTAGACATTCTGCAAACTATATATTGCAATGTGAAACTTGATACCAATAAAGCTATCTCTACAATATTGAGAATGGAAAAAGTTATTTTCGCAAATACAGAAGCCTTTTTGAAATTTCGAACTTGAATAGCTTAATTATTGAGCATTAATAATTATATTAGAGCTGCGTTATTGGCACTTACAATTAGGACATTTTTCGATTGAACTATTTCCGCATACAAATATTTAAAAGATGAAAAATTAAAAAATATTGTTAAACCAGTCAACACTATTACATTGTGGAAAAATATGCTACGGACATCGCTGTGTATTATGCATTTAGTGTGCTAAAAACTGATCTAAGCGGTATCTATTTCTATATATTTATATCTTGTTTCATTCCATGAAATGACTTTAACTAACATACTTTCTTGCAATTGCGATCAATTATAATAATTTCAATCTTAAATCATGATTCATACAACTTCTTACGTTTAATTTACATACAATTTGTTTTCAAGAAAAATATTTCACACAAATTATTTTTTTATAGATATTATATTAACATAATTTTCTCTCAATATTAAAACATAATTATACTAAAAAAAATAACACAATCATTCAATTATTCTCTTTTTTTCTATATTTTTACTATCACATTTTTGTAAACCAAATTTTAATTGTTCTATTATTCCATTGATATACAATAATAATTTGAAATTGTCAATTAAATAAAAATGCAGAAGATAAACGTGATGTTTATGTGCATTGAAATAAACAACAATTTTTAATATTTTCACAATGAACAATTTCAGAACATTGTTTGAGTTGAGAATGTGCCTTTAATCTTTTAATTTTTTATTGTTTGTAATTCAATTAGTTGACGAAAACTAAATAATGTACCATATATTGTGTATCGTTTAAATATTAGACTATTTTTAAATTTATTCGTTTTGACATTTTAATAAAGCAGTTTTATATAACTTGACCTAATATTTGCTCATATACGTACTGACCTCTCTATCACATTTATTGTTTTGCATTACAATCTTAAGTTTGAAATTTAACTATTGTTCGGGTTGTTCTTATAATAATGCAAAATAACCGTTATATATATTATATATACGGTGATTTTAAAGACGATGCCATGTGGTGCATAAACGCTTGTAATTATTATCATGTAAAATTGAAGGAGATATCGATAAAATCGATAAATTATTTTTCACGAGAATATTAAACCAGTCCGCTGATAACACCTGCATATCGCTCGCCTATTCTGTATAGTGAGTCACCGGTGGCAGTTCCGGGCATCGCATCGTTTCAAACCTGAATGGCGACCACTTGAAGAACTTATGCAATGACGCGTGCCAACGCAAAAACATGCTCATTCAAGATTTTCGCCATGACTGATATTGCACTTGCTCCCAATTTATGTTGCCAATATATGTTTCTATTTTTTGCATTAGCAACTTTCATGTAATTGTTGATTGTTATGTAATCTAGATTTTTCCTACTATTAATATATAAAAGAAAATTATAATTTATCATTAATTTTCATTGCAATTAATAGCAATAAAATGATTTATTTCTATTATAAATTAATAATTGAAATTTGTTTTACTTATATAATTAAATAAGTATTGCTTTATTAATATATATGTAGATTTTGTGCCAACTATGGAGTAAAGTTTTTAAGTATCGCGTATAAATCTCAAATAAAATGCTGTCTTATTATTTGATGCTCATTCGAATTATGAGTATTCAATTTATTTAATGTCATATAATGTTAATGGTATCTGTTGGGTTCACTATTTCATTGATGTAAGAAACTACGGAATCAATAAAACTTACCTCTACGAGTAATGAAGCCTGTTACTACAACATGAAAGCCTATAAGGTTAAAATCTATTGTGCTAATAATTACATATACATACACTATACATACACTATACATACATATACATACACTATAATATATACAACATAATGTACATTTATTTTAATACTTTTATGTAAAAAGATAAATTTTATTTTGCACTATAAGTACGCACTAATCTTTCATTTCTTCTCTCATATATAAATATATAGGCGTGTGTGCGCGCGTTATTCACACATCTACTCAGTGTCCATATATCTAATAAAGTTATATATCAGAATATTTAAATTAATCTGAATATTATAACAATAACACATTTGAACACACACGTACACACAATTTAAAAGTCAGAATAGTAATATTATCATATACATCGAATGCTATCTATAGTAGCAATAAATAAATATGTCATATTACATACTCTTATTAATATTTCTAATAAAATATAAAATACACATATCATTAAACGTAATATTTTTCTTTTCAGGTCGCTGGGACTCGTAATATTTATTATATCAGCACACGTGCATGATTCCCTCGCAAAACATGTAAGTCTATTTATATATAAAACAAATACAGTATAAAAAGATCACGAGAGTTATCTTGAAGACCAGAATAAAGTCACGACAAGAATCTCAACACGTCTTGACGAAATTCTCTTTGGTTTTATTACCCCCTCTTTGATGATGGTTCGGGTTTCAAGGCCTCCCGGTCTCTCACACAGATTATCTTGATACATTTTTGTTCCTAGGAAACCTAAGACAATAGGGAACATAAAGATTCCGTAAACCATTACGACGTAACCAATAATTACGGATGGCCTTCGAACTTAATCGTAACCCATATTTCTCTTTCTAAACTTATTCATTATCATAAACTTATTCATAATTTATTATCATTAACTAGGATAATTTCTCTTTCTGTCTCTCTCTTTCTCTTTTTTGCTCTCTTATTATAAATGATGTCTATGAAATTATGTAAATATTATTTTATAATATCTAATATAAAAATTTTAACTATAATGAATATATATTCCTCTCTTTTTACTTCAGTTTACAAACTATAAATAAAACATTGATTATAATGCTAATCTTCGTATCTCATGCCCTTCTTATTTCAATAAATGTTACTATTGAATGTTTCATTAATTTTCACAGCAAATTTTTCTCAGAATTTTGAATATAACAATTTGGATTAAAAACTGATTAAATTTATCATTGTTCTTTTTGAAATATTACAATATTTCAACTTAATATAAATTTTATAATTTTGTTTTTCTTTTATATTGATGTTTTTCACACGATTAAAAATATTTTAGAGACATTTTTATTTGCTTAATCTAATCAATTTATTTAGCTCATGAAATTGCAATGCAAATATAATCAATATCGTGGCTATGAGCAATACAGGTTATTCAAAAAATATTATATACATTATATAATTTATAATATTATCATATTTTTTTAACAACTCCTATATTACTCGTTATAGCCATGCGATATCGATTTTATTTACTTATTTATTTTTTATAAATACTTCTTTCTCATCATTATGTAATTGTATGTAATCTTTGATATTATCTTGAATATGATCGTTATTTCGATTATAAAATTTGATTTGCAAAGAAATAGTTCCGCAAAATCGAAGAACTCGATAATGTTGAAAGTACAGTCAGATTAGTTTAAATTTGAGAAGAGAAATTTTTTTCAAGAAGAGAAATTTTGTTAGAAAACGTTCTTATGATTCCTATGATGAGTAAGAAAATGGAGGTATATACTCGTAGGATGAACGCGGATAAGAGAAATGATCATCTCTCATCATTTCAGAGAAATGATTATTTTGAATTAGATCGCAGCAATCTTATTGCATATATACATATGTACATGGCTAATGTGCTTTTTGTCTGTATCCAATCCGCGCCCAATTTACATGAGAAATAACTTATAACCTGAGAAGAATCGAGATCTTGTTATATATGTATATAGCATATATTTATTCGTAGTAAAATGCTCAACTTTTTATCATTATGTTACGTTTGCAACATAATCGCAACTTATCTTCAAATAAGTGGAAACTATTTTCTTACTATACCTAAGAATATCTGGAGTAAAACAAATTGCCGAATCTTCAAGTTTGCTAATTATAATAAATTTGCTTTTATAATCTTTATTTATAAATTATTATAAGCATATACATCTTAACAAAAATAAGTTTAATTAAAATTATATAGATTTAAAATTGAATATTGGCAATAGAATTTTAAGAACGTTGCAAATATTGTAGAAAGAGAAAATACAGGGACGAGGAAAAAAAGAGAAAAAAATGTGTCCTTTTAGTAATAATTTTTTTATTAAAATTAATCTGTGGATACAACTGTGTTGAATGTAATATGAAAGTAAAGTTAAATAAATAAACAACAAGAAAGGAAAGAAAGCCTTTAACAAGCTAGTCAAGCTGGATCTTAAATGTTTAAATAATTCTATGTGAATTTATATACTATCTATGTAGTCATTTAAATTGCGATTCGAATTGATTTTTCGGTCTTGAAACCCAAACTGATTGTGTGAAGTACTATATAGTATGACATCACAACTTAAATTATTTAATAATTTACTAATTTAATGCTCATGCATTTAGGCATTTTATAAATATCTTAATAATACCGAATAACATTAAAATCTGTAAATAATTATTATATTATTATATTATATTTTATTATTATATTATTAATATTGTTTAAAATTAAGTAAATTGATTGAAATATCGATAAATACTAACAATAGTATTGTTGCACAATTTTAATTATAAAAATTATTCTTTACGCGTCTATTGCAGTTATATGAAAATAGTTCTTTTTTTGATATCTGAATAAATAAACTGATTTCTAATGGATTTTTGCTCGTTGAAAGCGAAGGCAGCAAAATTTACCTATCAATTGGCATTTTCATTTATATTTACTATTTTTCTGCAGCCAAATCAATTTTTTGTTCAACTGTTTCATTTACACTTTATTACTTTAAAGTAATATCTTTTACTTATAATATAAATTTCTCAGAAATCTGCCGTAGCCAATTTTGCCATCGGATTTATTTTCAGCGACTAAAAATCTATCGGAAAACACGTTTGTGTATTCAGATTCCAAAAAAGTATTGTTATATTTTTTGATGTACTGATCTAATTTCAGATCGAAGAAAATTTGTAATGATAAGTTTGCGAGGTAATGACAAATTTGTATTTTTAAATACATAAAATAAATGCATACGCATGAATGTGCTATCGCGCATGAAGTATGTACATACTCGAGACATTCACAAGGAGACCCGTTATGAGATTATTAAACGCGGTGTGAAGAGAAAGGAAAAACTCATATAGTGGTGACTCATAGCGGTTTTTTACTAATATTAGTCCCGTTCAGACTGCGTGGCTAATCTAATATAAGTTAAGTGGTTGTTACAAACGCAAAGAAATTTTGAAAACAAATTTATTAATTTTGGCAGACATCGCATAATAGTATAATAATATAAATTTGCATCGTTAATATAACATAAGTTTTCTATTTGTGAGAGATCTTGTTATAATTTATATTGATGCATTAATTAATTTTTTTATATTTATATAAATGTATTCATATTTCTATATATATATATTTCTATATAAATGAATATTCGATATCAGTTATTTTTATAACGTATGATTTATTGTACTTCTTCTAGCTTCTTCTTAAAATAATATTAATATACATAATTTTTTAATTTTACTAATACTTAAAAAGATGTATGCGCGCGCATGTGTGTGTATATATATATATATATATATATATATATATATATGTGTGTGTGTGTGTGTATATATATGTCCGTCAAATTATTGAGACATCTTAAACAAAGAATAAATAAGTGTAAACCGATGACGTAATGACGCAAAATAACAGAAGAACATGTCTTCAAGATCACAACAGTTACACTTGTTGCTTCTCTGCTTATGTATCTTTCTCTCCGCTTTTCGTAATAATTTATCAAAAAAATAACTATGACACACATACGAATCTTTAGTTTTTATTGTATTATTGAAGTGCTATCAATAAACTCGCAGAAAAATTGCTATTATAGTAGACCTATCATTATTTGTGTCGAACGTGAGGTCAGACAGCGACAATATATATGACAATTATTAAGAAGGAGGCGTGTTGAGTTCGACGTTCATGGTTCATCGACTGACCTCTCGCATCGGGAGAGAGAGGCCCATTTCTCCGAACCATTTAATTAACTCTTCACCACGCAATCTCACGGAACATTCTACGATCGTCAAATTTCATATACGACCGCTATGTCTCGATCTCAATAACAGCGACTTTAAAACTGATTGTCGATGAACGACATAATATGCCCTGCCCAAAACAATACTTAATTATTGTAATAATTTATATAAATTTTATTGTATATAAAGTAAATTATAAAGTTTCTTTTCGTTTATTTATATAGTACACACAGTCAAGTAATGCAACAAACATGCGGTAGATTTTTTTTGTGCATAAGTAACGTATGTACATAATTATTTAATAATGAATTTTGAAAAATAGTGAGTATATTTTTTAAGAAATACATTAATGCACGAAATTCTGAGAGTATTTGGATGGGAAATTAATTACAAGTTTTACAATTATAAATTTAGATATTAAATTTGACACAAAGATTACATAAAGGATTACAATTACACTTTTCTATGAGAAATAATTTAACTCTGTAATCAAATCTGATAAATTAATGGATTGAAAAGTACATTCTTTAAATATGTTTCACGTATGATGCATATGAGCTGTTTTCATTTTTGAGCGATTAAAATGTCTCAAGTGGCAAACCACAACTACTATTGTTATCCACGAAGCTTAACTATACGTCGCGTGGATGGTTCTCTAGAGGCGAAGACTGCAGGTGAACAAGGGAGCACTTAGCGCGAAATGTTTCCTTCGCACTTACGTTCTCACGGCAGGCCACAACATCTTTTTCGTGACCCTTGTCTTTGACCTCGTAATACCTATATACTCTCTCGACGCACGATGCAGCGCAGCATGGAACAAGGAAACGCGAATATAACGTAATAAATATATTTCTCTTAATCTTGTTTCAGTATCATATAAAATTAAGGCACGGAAGGCATCGCCGACAACATGGCGAAAGTTATCTGCCTAGCAGCTTCGTATCAGACACAGATGAGCCCGAGAGAGGCAATTGGGGACCATGGTCGACACCCAGTTCCTGTTCGCGCTCCTGCGGTGGCGGAGTCGCTCATCAAACTAGACAATGTCTCGATATCGAGTAAGTTATTATACTTGCCGAGCTTTTATACATTCATTGTCTGCTACCACTCAATTTGTATTAGAATGTCGCATTAGAATCACGCTTGTCCTGATAAGTGATGTTCAGAGTAATGTTCAAATAAGATGTGAAGACCTAGGTATGAGAAAAACGAATACTTTAATGTCTATCTTGTGGAATTATTGTAGAAAACAGAAATGATAATATTGCATTTCTCATGAGTGTGAGATATTTCAAACTGTTAATTTTTTTTTACCATTTTTATGACATTTCTTAGTGAGAAATTCTCTGTGCAATGTAGGAAACTTCAATAAGGAAATATAAATATCCTTCTACAATTTTAACTAGATATATATATATATACAATATAAATATCGTAAAAAAAAATTATTATCAATATATGATGTTTGCTATGTTTTATATTTGCGCTCACTCAAATTCATGAAACATATACAAAAAAATTTTCAAGGCTACTTTAAAGATTATTCTTCGTTCTTCTTTCTTAAATTTATCGAAAAGAAGTCATTTCGTCTCATTGAGTTTCTCGCTACCTTTAGAATTTGCTACAATGATATGCTCAATCCGATTGAGATTGAATTAAAAGCGAATACAAACTTGCTAAGAATTTAATCAAATCTCGATGTAATATTGTGTAAGCAGCGAATTAAATAAACTGCTCAATACATTGATAAATATTCCATACTACTTGTATAATTTACAGTATAATTACAGTATAATTACAGTATAAAGTAATTATACCGTGTATAATTTACAAATTTTAGTATGTAAATAATGTAAAAAGTTTGTGTTGGAAAAGTATAATAGTATTTTTTTAAATAAACTTTTTTAAATAAACTTTAAGCTCCTGTAATATTATTGATATACATTTCTTTACGTTGTATTTAAAAAAACATTTTTGTTGGAACGTTATAATTAGAAATTTTATTTAAATAAAATGATAAATTGCGTTAAAAATCAAATATATATAATATACACGAAATCGTCAACCAAATCTTTTTACAGTGCGCCGCCGTACGTCAGCCGCGATTAAATTTGGGATAAATCAACAAAACTTTTCTCTTAGCACACGCCAACGTAACAGATCCTTCGTAAATCCTTCTTATCTCGAAACTAAGGGAAGATTAATCGTAGGCACTTACACGTCTCTCGACATCACGCTATCTCCGGGAAATTCTCACATTTTCCATCGTAAAGACGAAGTTGATTTTACACGCGCTGTGATTACGTACGTAAAGTAAGAAATTGGAAGAGTGACCGATCAATGATTGACATTGTGTTATATAATGCCGATTGGGACAAGCTCATCGCTAATGATACATTATGGATCTTAGAAAGCGAGATAATCGTACCTAATGTGAAAGCGCGTAATGTACGTAATGCCAGCGCATCGTATTAGATTCCTTACATCGAATGTATCGTGTCACACAGGTCAATATGAATGTATTGACTACGATTCAATCGCGAAAGAAATACATTATTTTTATGGTAATTGTGTATGATGTACTTTCTGTTTCTACACTTGATATATCGTTTCGATCAATTAGAAATTGCGAATTAAGCAAAAATCAATAAAGGAAATTATGATTATATAATTGTATCTTTTTTTAAGTATTTCATATTAAAAGTGATCTGAAACAAGTTTTTATAAATAGTACAATATTACCATTATGTAGCAATAAATTATAATAAAACTTCGAAAATGCGTACAATGTAATTACTTACGTACATAAATTGTACATATAACGTTAAAAAAACACAATATGTAATGCTGCAAATCGTAACTATGTAAATTTTGAAATCTCCCACTAAAATTTTATCGAGCAAAAAGTGATATCTACCTTAGGAAGAAAAATTTTTTAATGTTACGCCTTCGTGCAAAACAACATTTAGCAGAATACTTCGGAAATTTAATAAAGCATAATCTCTTAATATGATTCTTAATCTTGTCTCAGAAAACTTGACATTCGTGCAGAATATTATATAAGCCACTATTAATCATGTTTCATTTTTTCCCGTACAAATTCTCTAATTTATATGTTTTTTAACTAAGAGAAGTAGAAAAATCTATCTACATCCTTTTTTTATTTTTCTTTTGTAAAGAAACTTTTTAATTAAAAAGATACATTTCAGTAGAGAATTTTTTATCATAACTCACTTTTTACCAAATTTGACAAGAATAAAAATTTGAAACGCATGATCAAAATCTAAATGTAATCTAGTGTAGAATAAATTAAAGTGAGAAATAAAGAACGCGCGGACTGTAAAGAATGCATCTTGCAATATTAATGTATGTATATGCAACCGGTACTGTCCCTTTTGTTACACATTGCATATGTATGTATCTTGTCCTTCGGATAGTTATTATATTAATTGTATGTCAATTGTTAAACAAATCCAATTATTTATCTTTCATTATATTATTAATGATATCGCTTTCTACGGTGCTATAATTATGATCAGTGCGAATTTTGATTAAGCGAATGAATAAATATCTATTATATTTGAACAGTATAACTGAACAGAAATGTGATTAAATTTAGTTAATTAGTGCAGAATTTGATGCATTTGATGCTCAATAGATATCTGTATTAAAGAATATATATGTTGAAAATCGCAATAAATAAATATATTACCTCGGCTGCAAGTTGAACCCGGATCTCTAGCATTCCGTGCGAGCGTCCTAAGCTTTTAGACTACCAAAGCTAGGACGCAATTCAAAATGACTACAAATATTGTGTGTGTGTGTGTGTGTGTGTGTATGTGTACATATATAGTGTGTGTATGTGTGTGTATATATATATATAATTCACATTACATTATTTTATAATCATCAAAAATCCAACTTTTACCGTCATAAGCCTTTATTTCCTATTTCTTATTGGTTTTGTTCTTATACTATTTATTTGATAAATATACAACAGTACACATGAGAAAGTAACAAAAGTAACAAAAAGTTTGAGCTGGTAATACTCTTACTTTAACTTCAGACTCGATCATTTATCATAAAGTAACACATTTATTTTATAATGTTGCAGTGATAGTGGTCATGACAAGTGTACTGGTGCATCCAGAAGATTTTTCTCGTGTAATATTCAAGTGAGTACGAAAAATTATTATAATTAACATGACTCATAATTATTTTATTCGCGATAAATTTATTCGTTGGATGCGAGTGATTGCGTTGTCTTTCGCCGCGTGCTAATATCAGCCCGAAATTGTAAAAAGATTCCGTAATGGGAATACCATGCGAGTCGAGACAAGTACAATTCAGAACTTGATTAATTGCCTTGTAATAGCGAATGATTTATGCGATGTACTTTAATAGATCGAGTAATCTGACAGTCTATCAAAAGATGGGGCAGACGCATGATGTGCGTTTCAATTATTACTCTCATCTACAAACAAACTAAAATCAGAATCGAAATTTACACTCTGACTCTTTTCTTTCGATTCTTATGATTGTTATCACATATAATGACGATTCAACTATACGGAAAATTATGATTAATCTGCAATTTATTTGTGATCGCTGATCTCAATGAATAATTGATTCCTTCAGTTCTTCTATCACATTTTCTTAAAATATAACATCCTACCTTCAGCCTTTCAGATATGGCTCAACTAATGACACACCAATTTTTAATCATATAATTTACGTCATTATTTAATTCATTCCTTCTTAACCAACTGCAATGTCATTAATATTTACACATATCTACGCGCCCACGCACGTGCGCGCGCACACCTACACACCTGTACATTATTATATTAAAAATATAATATTCAATTTAAATTCAAATATGATATAAAAAATAAATATGGTATTAAACACTACAAGTTTTAGAACTTATAGTTGCATTTTCTTGATGTTTTTATTTATGTGGATCGCATTATGAAAAATTACGATTAATTAATTGCAATTAAAATCTAACAGCGTTTTGCCTTTTTTTCATGATTCATTCAACTATTGAATGGGTAGAAAACAAGCAAAAAATAAAATAGAAAATTATTTCAAGATAAAAATTATTTCTAAAAAAATATATGTCGCTGTTACGCAATTATGAGATTGGACTAGATAATATTACGTAAATATTACTTCTAAAACTGATACGACAAGAATCTATTACTTTATATCCTGAATTGACAGATTGAGTTTAATGGAATGCAAACATAAATTGTACATTAAAATATTTCGAAATTTATTGCATTTAATAATATTAAATAATACTGTTTGACAAAAAGTTTCACTTTTCTTTTGTAATAAATTGATCTGACAGGGTATAATATTTTTTGCTGATTTGAAATCTGTTTATTAAATTTATATATGAGAAAAAAAAGCAGGTTTTGAATAACATATATTTAAAAACTTTTCTATTTATCTGTCCTGTTTATTGTTATACGTAAATCAAGTAAATAATTTAAAGAGAATAATATTAAATTTAACATGATTTTTTTACTCATGATAAAAAGATTTTGAACAAAAATTAATTAATTTAATTAAGAAAAATATTCCATACGACGAATTGTTAGTAAACATTACATAAATTTTTAAAAAGAGATGTCAGTTTAAAAAATTGGAGCTCGTAGGATAAACACTTCATTTTTAGAGTCAATATGAAAGAAACATACATAAATCAATTAAAATGACCCATTTAGCAAAATCAGTGTCGGTTAGTGTAGTTAATAAATATTATTAAAAATTCTATAATAATTAGCCTTCTATAATTCTATAATAATTATTTTTTATTTGAAATGTATTTTATATTATATTTTTAACATAACATTAATTAACTACATAAATCTATTTAAAACAACACATACAAACGCTATTTTCTTCGACTCCTTACAACCCCCTTTTCCTCCTTACTATATTATAATTTTTATTAACTTTGATACAAAAAACAAATTGGATAACGTATTTTTATAAGAAAAAAAAACAATACTAATAGAAACAAATATTAATATTATGATTTGATAATGTATTATATAAGCACATCATCTAATAACGAAACTGCATCCGAATACATATTGTGTCAGAGTTTTTTCGATGTTATATGCGTTTTATATGTTTTGTGACGGACAGAAGATTCACGAACGGAAGTCTTATATGTGGCATTGACTCGCGAAGTATTAACTTTGTTAGAGCTAGATGCTAACTACAACACAAATAGCAAGGTACATCGCTATATAAGTTCTCTATAATTGAGAGAGCGATGTTATTGACATTTATTTCTTGGAACAACAATAGTTGCATCTTGTTATAAAAAATTATAATTATATTTATTATCATAAATTATTAAAAAATAATTATTTCTGTATGAAATATTATCTATATATGTAAGATGACATATAAACAGATAAACATACAATTAACGTAAATTTGCAACATATAGTAATGATTCTGTTTTTGCCGTCGTTTTTATAATTTATTTCTCTCTTGTATGTTATCCTTGTCTATTTAAGCTTTCGCTCTATTGCATCTTTGTAAATCTTTTTCAAAAAGAATTACGGGATAAGCCGACAGTCTGGGTATTTCAGTCGAATATTTCATAAACAAAGCATTTTTAAGAAAAATATTTCATGTAATAGCTTTAACAATGCATTAAACGACGAGACTTACTTGATCTTAAGTATAGGGAAGACCGGAAAAAGTAACATTTCTATTTTAAAGTGTTATAACAGTTAAAATATAATATTTACATTAAAAAAGTATGTATCTTTAAATGTAGAATTTATTTAGCAAAATTTTCTTTGGTATAATTTTTTTATGTAATTAGATAAAAGTTATGTTTATTTCAAAACTATGAAGAATTTTGTTACAATTGAACTTAACCCCCTGGACGATTGTAACAATAGAGAAGGATAATTGTTCCACATTTGCCAGAGGTACATAACACGACTATATAAGTCATATTCTTTCTTGCAGCTGCATGAATGGATAACCTTTATAATCTCTTTAAATCTCTGTTTGTATAAAGACAATTTTTAATATAATTTTTCTCTTAATCGGTTTTGCATTTTCGTCTTAGTGGCATTCTATGAAGAAAATTACAAATAATATTGTACAAAACAATACTAAAATAAAATCAAGTAAGTTTTAGGATAATTGCAACGTTACAACTGACCCAAGATATCGATGTCACTATTATCCCCTAATATTATTATTTATGAAATTTATAATAAATTTTTTTAATTAAAACCTAAATAAAAATCAACTCAAATGTGCAAATCATCAACATAGATAATCGTTAAAACATATTAAGATAATACATTATATCTTTGTTATAAAAAAAAAAAATTTTTTTAGATTTTGTGCATATGATAAAACTTACTTGATACATGAAAAAAATAATTTCTGTTCCTGTACTCGTCACATTTCGCGAGAACCAGCATGTAACGAACGATTCATTGCCGATCTGTCTAGAATTGTATCATGCAATCGCATACACATGTCTATTGTAGTTCAAGAAATATTGTCACTATTGTACCTTGTTATTTTTGTTCTCGATATGGGTTCTCCCCCACATATGGAAGAGCTCTCAAGGTCAACTTTAAAATTTTTAATGAAAATCGCTACTTTTTATTCATATTATTCTTGTAATTGACATTCAGATTTTTTCAAAGTATTAAAACTCTTTTGGATTAATTGTTTTTCGAGATATGAGTTGACAAAGTTCAGGTACCACCAGCATTAGCGTTATCCAAAGTATCCGACCGACGGCTAAAACCTATACCGAATGTTTTTCGAAGACATAATATAATATAACCTTGACAACATTTGTCAAAATAAAGATCATTGAAAATGGTCCCCAAAGTTATTTTCATTTTTAACGTAAAACAATGATCTTAATCTTGATAAATATTGATCGGACACCTTAAACATGAATAATGTTAATGCTGGCGGTATCTGAACTTTGTCAACTCGAAAAAGATTAAATCTAAAGGAGTTTTATTGTAGTGCTTTGAAAAGCTCTCGATGTCAATTATAAAAATATTGAACAAAAAGTGGAAGTTACATTTAAAATTTTTAAATTGACCTTGAGAGCTCCTTCATACTTATATTCAAATAAGTCTTGATGTGTTATTATATATTCAGACTCTACAACTTCGTAAATATATAAAATATTTTTCTCAAAAATATTTTATTTAAAGAAATATTCGACTATCTATCTAAATTTTTGGCCCTGTAGTGCATTAGTTTTCTGACGTAGTGCGAGAGTTATCAATAATTATTATATAATTCATTTTGCACGTATTATTGGCTATGTACTTTCAATTCTTACAAAAATTGTTTTATAACAAGTCATTTTACCTTTTAATAAAAAAATTTTGTTTAATGTAAAACTTTTAAAACATAATTATCTTAAAAGAATTACGGTTCTTATTAATGAACTGAAATTATGTCATGACATGATAATTCTACAAATTCTATGCTGTTGTCTTGCCATATTTTTACTAGTGATTCATTCCGTTCGCAAGAAATCTCATACCATAAATTTTACGCTGTATCCTCGTGCGTGGTACCGGTCCCATCGGAGTATCTTTTCTTCGTTTTTGCTAAGATTCCACTCGATTTATCGATGTTACTTGCCTCACAGATCTGCTCTCCAATGTGAAGTACATCTATTTCTAGCTCATTTTATTTTTACGGGGCATTCATGAAATAGCATAACACATACACATTTATTTCATAATATTAACAAGGGTAAAATATGTAAATCTATCAGTCTCATCACTCAAGTTACCAAAAAGAGTTAGCAATTAATTTAGATATGATGTAAAAATTAATCAAAAGTAATTCACAAATAGTTTTTAATCAAAATTGATAAAGATATGAAAGCTATAAAAAAGTGAAGTTATAAAATTGCATGTTAAATATATCAAGTTTGATAAATAATTTTTTCTTACTACTGTAATAATATTAAGCAAATGATGTATCTAATGAGATAAGATATTCAAGAAATCAAATTGATCTAACAAAAGAAACCGTTAGTTAAAAAATAGAAATATTACAAAGATCTTTCTACCTAATAAGTAACATTTTTCTTCGGTCCCTTTATACAGTAATGACACTTCCCTCAACATGATATTCAAACATATGTATATTTCTTTATATAAAAACTCAACATTCACCACTAATGTATATTTTGAATTCGAGATTATTACTGGTTTTTGGTATTTTGAATTCGAGATTTTTTTTGATATAATCATCACAAAATATTATGAAAGGTTGATAAAAAAGATTGACAAATATTATTTATTTATTTAAATTATCATTTTTTTATTACATTAAATTAAAATTTGATCTGTGCGTCAATAATTTATCTTGAAAAATGAATGCCTTGGTGAATCGACAGATTTTCGTGCGGAACAGTGTGCGGAGTTTAACAATGTACCCTTCGAAGGAGTTTATTACGAGTAGGTCCTTGTGCGTCTTTTATTTTCTCTCTCTCTCTCTCTCTCTCTCTCTCTCTCTCTCTCTCTCACTTTTATTTTTTCATATCGTAAATTGTTTAAACTTATTGAGAATATATGTATTGAATTAGTGGAGCGTCTATTTCAATACTTGTAAAAAGGATAATCCTACATTGATTAAAATTTCAGTTTAAAAAAAACTTCCTAAAAAATAAGAGAAAATCGCTGTTTTTGAAAAGATGATTTAAAAATAAGGGTTCTGGTTATCTTCACAATAAACCAGAATAGCAGAATTTATGCAAAGAAATATTTATATAAAGGGCGAAAACATAATTAAGATTAGAAACAGAACTGTGTGTGTGTGTTTATATAAATAAATTAATTAAATACGAAAAGCATCAATTACGGATATATATATATATATATATATATATATATATATACAATATGTATATTTTTAAATAAATTTAAATCTGATTACGCGCCGATTACTTTCAACACACAATACTAATAATTTCCCAAATTTAATTTAATTAATCAACAAAAATCATTAAAATTTTGATAAACAAATGTTAGTTTATTTTTTATTACATTTACTTCAACAATAATCGCATAGTAATCTTTCTCAGCTTTTGTACAATCAATGTGTGCCCGCAGAACACATATTGCACTCATCATTCTTCTTTTCTATTGTTTAGAAATTTTTGATCACAAAATATGTAGGTTGTTGCCCATTATTTACTCATGCCTAACATCGTATCAATGAAATTAAGTTATAAGAGAAACACAATGTATTCCCACTTTATCTCAATATATCTTTTCACACATGTATCAAACTTTATACTGTGTGTGTGTGTTTTCAAGATTATAAACAATTTCATTAATAAAGCTATATTTCTAGAAAAAATAAAATATTCATACCTGCACAAATTTTCAATTATCAAAAACCTAACAATTATAGATATATAACTTATACATTTTCTCAAAAGCAATCGTTAAATGCAGCTGTATGACGTTCAACAAAATTATATGCTTGTTATCAGATAGCAGTACTACAAAGAACTGAAACACCGCTTATCCATATTTAGATCATTGTCCATATTTAAACCTTCTTTTCTGTTATGGATACTTTTTCTTCTTCATGTAGTTGAAAAGTAGTTGAAAAGGATTTGAAAGTTTCTACCAAAAATCTATATTATGATCATACAAATATTATTATTCATTAACATAAAATAAATCTTTTATTTGCCGTAATGAATTTTTTTCTACCGATGCATATCGTTTGTTAAACAGAAGAATTAAATAATAATTCATAAGTAGAGATGCATCTGATATCCGAAATTCAGTATCTTCTATTATCCGGTACTTTTTTTACTCCGGTCAGATAGTCGAATGTCATTAATATCCGGAAACATATTAGGTGTTGGAATTAATTCGTAGCGTTTTACAAGTGATGGGAAGTACTTTCATTAATGTATTTTTTAATGCTCATGTGAAATAAATAACATTCTTTCATTAAAAACGCTACGAATTAATTCCAACACCTAATATATTCGTTGAAATTTTATATTATTTGCGTTATTGATGCAAAATTGTACTCTTTTTAGCTAAACCTCTTGAACAGTTTATGGTTTTGCACAAGCATGATAGTTGCCGATAATCGAAATAAATTGTCATCGAAAAATGCTGAAATGTTATTGTCTATTATGAAAAATTTATTAATTGAATTTATTTATTGAACTTTGGTTACTAAGCAATATTGAAACTGTATTACAAACTGTATTACAATCTTGTTCAATTATTATTGCTATTTTCCCCCTGCTTTTTTCCCCTTTTTTTTTTAAATTTGAGAGAATTTGTAGTGAAGAAGGGAGGCTATTCGGAAAATATCCGGTATCTGATCAGATAACTGCCCTACCGGATATCCGATATCCGAATATCGGATATTTGATATTCTTTTCGGACATTCTTTTCAGACATCTGATATCCGGTATCTGATAATTTTACGATCTAATACATCTCTATAGTTCCTAGTATCCGATAATACAATATAAATGGGATCGGGATATAATTATCGATTTTTATTTACATGTTATCATATTTGTTTCCGTAGTTGGATTCCGTACATCGGAAGTCCAAATAAATGCGAACTAAATTGCATGCCACGAGGAGAGCGATTTTTCTACAGACATAAAGTCGCTGTGATCGACGGCACTCCTTGTGAATCCGAAAAGAACGATGTTTGTGTCGAAGGCAAATGCATGGTGAGTTATGTTTAATCATTAATTATTATTATAAATTTAATAATTGCGTAAAAGACGCAATTAGATTATTTTATTTTATTATCGAATAATATTGACTTACGTTAAATAATAGACTTGTGATTAAGCTGTTATAATTAAAGGAAATATAAGAGCGAAAATAGAGCTATATTGCGATAGAATTTATTATAAAATTGTTTTATATAGCACGTCGGATGCGATATGATGTTGGGCAGTGATGTCAAGGAAGATGCGTGTAGAGAATGTAGTGGCGATGGCTCAAATTGCAATACCGTTACCGGCTTATTTGATACAGACGATCTTCAAGTAGGTAAGTTATTTTCGTTGATTATAATATTTATTAATATTAGTAACAAATGTTCCATAACAAATTTCTAACAAGCAATTAAAATTATTTCTGTATAATTAATATTGTATATTTTAATTAATTTTCTTTTAATTCATAAACTTATTTGCAATTCTATTATTTTTAATCTATTTCTCACTAATAATAGAGACATATTTTCAGGATATATCGATATTTTACTTATTCCCGAAGGTGCGACAAATATCATTATCAAAGAAAATTATCCATCCAACAATTATTTAGGTGAGTTTAAATGAAATGAAAACTTATATAAATATCAAAGATAGTGCGACACATATACATATATTTAATATTAATAATTTAATATCAAATATAATACCAATAAGTTATTTAATAATGTAATTGCTCATTCCAAGTATTTTTGAAATTTGTTAATTAGCCATACGCAACACAACCGGACATTATTATTTAAATGGTAATTGGAGGATAGATTTTCCACGCAGCTTGCGCTTTTCTGGTACAATCTTTCATTATGCTAGAGATCCTCAAGGATTTGCAGCACCCGATACCATCACGGCTTTGGGACCTACAAATGAATCGATTTACGTTGTGGTCGGTATACATTCGTATCAATTTTCTTTTGCTAGTGAAATGTTCAGAACAAGGAATGTATTAATGAAAAATTATTTTCCTTTCGCAGTTGCTGTACCAAGATCGTAACGTGGGAGTGCATTACGAGTACAGCATACCTAAGAAGTTTTCAGCGCGTACCGATCCGGATAGTTACACTTGGGTAACCGATGAATTTTCAAGTTGCAGTGTTAATTGCGGTGGAGGTATTATAAGATTATAATTTTAATATGCACGTGATTAAAAGTGTAGGTTCTAAAATTATATTTTCTTATCATTAGGAAAAGATGCTTTCATACAATACGCATAAATATTTGAAAGTCTTGTTGATCTATAATATGATAATAATAAAAAAATTGTTTTGATTGGCCTTTAGCAAATTATTTTTATAATATCAAAATATTAATAAATTTGTCGAAACGTTGTAACTAGGTACGACTGCAATAAAAGCAAATGATCAAAATCAAAATTTAAAAGCAAATTCGCTATAATTAAAGTAATAATTACAGTTGTATTTCAACAAGAGTAAATATGTTTCGTTTATTTTTCAAGGCTACCAATCGAGACGGGTAGCTTGTGTACGGAGGCGTGATAATCAGCCAGTGGATGAGAGTTTATGCGATCCGCAGTTGGAACCGACTGACACTCAAAGCTGTAGCGAAGAACCATGTCCGCCTATTTGGGTAGAAGGCTCATGGTCAACTTGCACCAAACATTGCGGTGAGGGGGGCGAGCAGACTAGAGAGATAAAATGCGAACAAATCATCTCAGGTGGAATAGCTTCCGTAGTAGATGATTCTCAATGTTTGGAAAAAGTGGGACCTAAAGGGCTTACTAAGCAAGAATGCAACAAAAACGTAGATTGTCCACAGTGGCACGAAGGGCCCTGGAAGCCTGTAAGTTACATTATCATGCAGTATTAAATTACAATGAATTATATAATTTGACGAAAGAAATCTATTTTCTTTCAGTGCGATCATATATGTGGACCTGGTAAGCAAACGAGAACAGTTACGTGTTACAAGAAGGTCGATGGCAAGATCCAAGTGTTGGAAAATGGAGCATGTGAAGCGGAAATGCCTGAAAATGAAAAGGCTTGCGAGCTGAGACCTTGCGCTGGTCTCGATTGGGTTACTTCGGAATGGAGCGGGGTAAGTTCTCTGAACCCGCGAATAACTTTTTGTTAAATGAAAAAATTACCAAAATTACTTTTACGCTTCTCAAAGCTTTGAATAAACTATATAATACAATTGAAAATCTTATCTTGATAGTGCGAAGAGAAATGTGATCTCATCAAAGAAACCAGAACGGCCCATTGCGCTACTCAAGATGGCACAGTTTATCCAGATAATTTGTGTGATCCAGACAAGAAGCCAGAATTAGAAAGAGACTGTGATAAAGCTAAGAATTGCGATTTTCAGTGGTTCTCCTCGCAATGGAGCGAAGTAAGTAAATAAATATTTTCTTGCACGTCCATTTACCTTAAAATAAAAACATATATACATATATAATACTTTAAGAGACAAGTATGTATCAACAATTGGCTAAACGTTAGTAATATCCTCTGAATTAAACATTCTTATATATCTTTTAATTAACCTTTACAGAATGGGAATGTCACTATAGTGGCGCTGAAATAGTGTCATATTTTGAGGCAAGAAATAATTACATATTATGAATTATAAATCTTACTAAAGAAAAACTATAACATTTTAAACAGATTCCCGTCCTTTAAAGGTTAAATATATAATAATACAATTTATTTTCTTAGTTTTTTTATCTTTATTACACATTTTCATAGTGTTCGGCAAAATGTGGATACGGCGTTCAAATGCGCAAAGTGTTCTGTGGCACTTTTAGCAACGATATTGTGAAGAAAGTTTCGAGTGAGAATTGTGACCCCAAAAAAAAATTTGACAATATTAAAAATTGCACCGCTGAAGAACCATGTAAAGGCGAATGGTTTGCAGGGCCTTGGAGCAAGGTTTGCTTTAATTTTTAGTTATTTCCGCGACAACATTCTTATTTTCACGATTAATTGATACTGCTTTGTTTAAATTTATTACTACAGTTTTGTAAAGCTTGATTATAATTCAGATTTATTATAATTTTTCAAAATGTAATCAACAGTGTCATAATATGTTGCAGTGTTCGAAACCATGTGATGGTGGCGATATGACTCGTAAAGTAATTTGTATGAAGGACAACAAAACCGTACCTGTGAATCAGTGTAATGCCGACAATATCATATTCTCTACTGAAAAATGCAATGATCAACCTTGTGAAGAAGGTAAAAATTAAATTTAAGTTAAAACTTTACATTTTTAAATAGTTTAATATTTAACATAGATAAAATAAATAATTTTTACACAAAAGGAAAATATTTTTTAAAATAATAATATAGTTAAAAAGATTTATATCAATAACTTTAAAAAATAAATTAGTTTAATTACTCTTTGGTTATAATTGGTTAAAATTTTAAAATATTTTATTTATTTCATAGTATACAATATGTATATATACGTCAATAACATTAAATGATATCGCTTTATTGACAAATCTATTAAATTATCTTATTTAGAAAATAAATTCTATCATCGATATTGTCTATTTAGTTTGAAAATCTCTTAAATGTTGTTGTCATTTTCATTATTAAACATCGTAAATATTAATATTATTAACATATATTAACATTTGCTTCATTATAACGCAGGTTACGCGATTTATTATGACGTAAACCTTTTCATTATAGGCTACGAGCATAAAATATAGAATACGCTTAGAACAGCAGGCGTGAAAATAATGAAGTTCGTGGTATTAAATTCAAATGTCTCAGTACTTAGTCTAAAGGGCGATACGAACCACCTACCGTGAATAAAATATCACTTATTCTCTGTAGCAAGGAAAATTAAATTTTCGATGTTCTTTCGAGACTAGTTAATGATAAATAGAATGCACGCATAGAATCATCCAATGTTTCATGTGCATACTTTTAAAAGACTCGTGTTAAGAATTTAAATGTTAAGGATTTCTCTAAATTTGTTATTTTGGTGAACACAGGCGTGACACTAATCCTCGAGAAGCCAGATGAAACGATAGACTCGAAGGAGGAAGAGTGTGAGGAGGAAGAGGAAGAGGAAGAAGAACAATATGCTGTTGAATTCAATCTTCCTGTGGGGGTAAGCAAAAACTGGGTCGAACTTAATCAAATATTAAGTACGATTGAATTACTTCGTAACTTCATTTCTTATTATTTTACCGTTTCAAAGAGTCGTCAGATTCGCAATATTCAAATAAACCTTACGCGCGGAACAATCCGGTAATGCGGAACTCTTTTAATTTTACATCTCGCCGAGAAGAATCGGATAGCTGTAACATTGAAGCGCCTTTTCTCGTTTCAGAAAGTGAAGACAATGGACAAACTAATAGAGCAAACAGAAACAACAACTCCGAATTTATTATTTACCGGAAGTGACACTTACGACATTATGTTTAGTGATTCTACGAGAGGCGATATATCACTTTCCGAATTGGGTAGCGGCGAAGGTAGTGGTGACGATAATTTTACCATGTTTGATACTAGCTTATTCACCGGTAGCACTATCGATATTGATTCTACCGTTGTCGAAGAGAGCGAAAGTTCAATTAGTGAAATTACTACGGAAGGCAAAACCGGCACAACTGAATTCGGAATAGACGTAAATGAGTCATCGGACATCACTGAAGGAACTGACGTAACGCTCGAAGGATCCGGTACCAGCTTTGAAGGATCCGGTGCATCCACAGACGAATTTACTCAAGAAACTCAAGTCTCAGTATCGAAATTTGATAGTATGTTTCTCACATTATATCGTATTATATTATATTATAAATATTAGTACATTTCCAATATTAATATATTAATTTATTATAGTCTTTGAAATATCGATTATTCAAATTGATGTATATAAATCATAATGAAACCATTGTATATTGTTGAGTATATCGTTTATAAAATCATTATCATTGTCTTATGTGCATATATTTGTTAATTTTATGTTGAATCAGGGACAACAGAACAATCAACAGATTATTCCGTTACTATCACCAGCGAATTGACTAGCAATGTAGATATCGAATCAACTGTTAGTAAAAATTCAGAAACAACAACTGAATCCAGTGATACGACAACCGATTCAGATGACATAACAAGTGATACGACAACCGATTCAGATGACATAACAAGCAATACAAACGAATCAACTAATACCAATACCGTTACCACTTCAACAGAAACCACTGAATCCACTGAATTCACTGAAACCACTGAAACCACTGAAACAGATACAACAGATACAGCCGATACTGAAACGACCGATTCGACAGAGAGTGAAACAACAGCAACTACTGAATCTACAGACACGACCGAGTCTACGCAATCTCCACCAAGTACATTTTCAGAATTATCTTCATCAGAAACAACAACAGAGATTACAACAACAGAGAAAATAGAAACGACTGCGAGCGAGATTACTACATCCGGTAAGTATATATATTAAAAATAGTAAAATTGTTTATAACCTGAATTTAATATCATATAGAAATCAATATAAAATATTGTATTAAAATATTAAAATATTGTATTTTATTGTTTTCAATTTGTTATTTAAATTTAAATAATGTACATGCACAATCTTTCAAATGTATAAACAATACAAAAAAATAAATATAATAGACTAATGAGAGCCAGCAATGATAAACAGCGCAATTATTTAGTGAACAATTAACAATCAAATGTTGGATTGATGTCTTCTTTATTTTGAACGTTTCGACTCTCTTTGAAGTCCCCCTCAGCAAGAATGATACAATTATAATTAGCTCACATGTCCATAATGTTTAAGTCACTCGCAAATTGACAAAGATGCAGCGTTGTTAATCATCACGGAACATGAAGCATTGCACTGAAACTTTGTTGAACATGTTTAAACTTAAAAAATAGAATTGTTAAAATCAAATATAAAGATCACACATTTTTAGAATACACATCCGTGTACGACGATGTGTCACAATCTTTCAAATATATTTTATGAGATTTTTAATATCTTTATAAAAATGCTTGAGAGGAAACGCTTATAGATGTTTTTTTTAACATAAGAAAATTATAACACGAAAAATTAAATTAATTTCACTATCAGCAAGTCAAAAGTACAAATTATAAATTAATTATATTTTGCAGAAACGATGACGTCAACAATGATTTCTCAACAAACAACAGAATTGAAAGTACAAGGAGAGTATGATTTCGGTTCCGAGGAACAGAGTACTGATGCCATAACTACGGTATCAAGTCAAACAGACGAGAGTACAACAGTTAACACTACAACAGATAACATTAGTACAGAAACCACTATTGTTTCTGGGATGAGTTCATCGGATAAGACTGAAACAACTGGCAGCGAAATAACCGAATCGGGAGAGACAACTGAGTCCAGCACTAGCACGGAATCGACTGAGATAACGGAATCCGGACTAACGACTGAATCTAGCGACGTTACGACCTCAAACACAATTGTCGAATCAGACGCAACAGAATCTAGTGAGACTATCACCACAGTTTCTACGGAAACGGAAATTACGGAGACTACTGAGTCAATTATGACGACTAAATCAAGCGAGACAACTGAATCATTAATTACAACATCGTCTTTTGAAGAGACAACAGTATCTGGTGAAATCATTGTGACAGAAATTACGTCCTCCACAACCAGTGAAGAAATCGATCTTACCGAAAAGACTCATAGTAAGTAAGTCTTGAATAGTATAAAACAAATGTTTCTTTTTTATATTAATATCAACATAATTTCAGTCACAGAGGTATGGACAACCAGCTTCCCAGATACAACGGCGCACAAACGGCAATGCAAACCAAAGAAGAGCTGCAAGAAAACACCGTTCGGATGTTGCTACGACAATATCACTGCTGCTCAGGGACCATTTGGTCATGGTTGTCCGATGCCGCAAACATGCAACGAGACGCGATATGGTTGCTGTTCCGATGGCGTGTCACCAGCCATTGGTCCCAAGAACAAAGGTTGTCCAGATTCTCGTTGTAATGAATCACTTTTTGGTTGTTGTCCTGATGGTGTTACTACAGCGCAAGGCAACGATTATGAAGGATGCAAGAGACCATGTAAAGAAACAGAGTTAGTTTTTATTTTTATAAATTCTTCAAATGTATCATTCTTCTTAGTTTTATAATTTAATCACTTGTCCGTTTAAACGCGTAGATTTGGATGTTGTCCAGATAACGAGACTGCAGCTAGTGGAAAGGATTATTTGGGATGTTGTAATGTAACTGAATTTGGTTGTTGCCCAGATGATATTAAAGCCGCTTCTGGTCCTAACAGCGAAGGTATATATTTTGCTATTTTGCCTTTGTATCGTAAATTATAGCCCATGCTTTATATGTAAGAATATATTACAACATTTGTATGCCTTATTTAGATATTTTTGAAATTGGACCAATTAGTATATAATTACATGTATTTATTGTACATATATACGTGTATTTTGCATATTTTCGAATGTTTTAAATAATGAGTATACGTTGTGTGATAAGGTTGCGAGGAAGAAGTCACTTCTGAAACGGAGACATATGAAATAACAACCCAACCTGTTTCACTAGAAGATTGTGCAAACACCACTTACGGTTGCTGTCCTGATGGTATTACCATTGCAACTGGTATCAATTTTGAGGGTTGCGGTGTCATTAATAACGAAAATTGCAGCGCGTCCTACTTTGGATGTTGTTCTAATGGAGTTTTCGCGGGTTAGTTACATAATATGTAATATTAAATTAATTAACACAAATTGTGTAAGAATTATTCATAGAATTTGTTGAATCGGTAAAGATATTAATACCATTAATACCATAAATTGTGAAATAATATTTTATAATGTGCGTGCATGCGTGCGTGCGTGCGTGCGTGTTATTGATGGTTCCATACGTGTTATTAATTGATCAAATAGATAATGAAACAAATTGGTTAACCATTCTAAACTAATCTTATTGTATATGCCTCCATCGTCTGTGATTGTTTCCACAGCTCTCGGACCGGACAACTATGGTTGTCGTATGCCATGTCACGACAGTGTTTACGGATGCTGCGAGGATGGAATAACGCCGGCACATGGACCGAACAACGAAGGTTGCTGCTTATCGACACCATACAAATGCTGTCCGGATAACAGTCTGCCAGCCCGTGGGCCAAACTTCTACGGCTGTGGCTGCCAATACACGAGATTCGGTTGTTGCCCGGATAATTCGACAATAGCGCGTGGACCAAACAACGAGGGTTGTGGCTGTCTATACACACCTTATGGTTGTTGTCCGAATCGATTTACTCCCGCCAGCGGACGCAATTTCGAGGGATGCCCGTGTTACACTTACCAATTTGGATGTTGTCCCGACGGTATTACTATCGCCAAGGGCTCTCATGGTCAAGGTAACTCCACGATCAACATACAAATATGGTACATATATAAAATCCAAATGTTGAGAGTAATTCGAGCATAAGAAGAGCAAAAAATTACGTACATTTTGTAACGCATTTTGTATAACATTTACAGGTTGTGGATGCGAGAATACAAAATATAAATGTTGCTCAGATGGTAGAACACCTGCTAAAGGACCAAATTTTGCGGGCTGTACCTGCGACGCATCACAATATGGATGCTGTCCGGACGGAATTGAGGAAGCTCAAGGGGAGAACTTTGAAGGTTGTATCACAATACCTTCGGTGCCCGGTGCCGCATGTGGTTTGAAAAAAGACAGAGGCTCTTGTCGAGATTTTACGGTCAAGTGGTTCTATGATACCGACTACGGTGGTTGTTCAAGATTTTGGTACGGAGGTTGCGAGGGCAACGAAAATCGATTCAAAACACAGGAAGAATGTAAAGAAGTTTGCGTTCAACCAAAAGGAAAAGGTAACTCTAAATATAATATTTTACACATAATGTATAATATTCATATAATTAATTGTTATATATATATATATATATATTGCGTTTTATAACATAAGATTAGAATTAAATACATATAATATTTTTCACCTTATAGAATTTAGATTTGAAACCAATTCTATACACAACGATCTAATTACATCCATTTAAATTTAAAAACATTAAAATTCTAGACAAATCATTGGATTTATTTTGCAGCTGTTTGCTTTTTGCCAAAAATCTCTGGTCCTTGTGAAGGATATCATCCAACGTGGTATTATGATACCGGTAGAAAGCAATGCGGTCAATTCGTCTATGGAGGTTGCCTCGGCAATGCCAACAAGTTTAAAACAAGAGAAGAGTGTGAAGAACTTTGTGTCACACCGAACGACATCGGTAAGCAATGATTAATTATATATATATATATAATCTTCATTTAATTTAATTTACCCTCCCGTATAAATACGTCTTTCAAAAAATCTTACACATTACACACTGAATTTAATCGAATAATAAATAAAATATATATTGCATTTGAGAAAATTCATAAACCAAATTGATAGTTATAAGTTTCTCATTTAAACTTTATCTACAGATCCTTGCGATCAGACGAAAGAAGCAGGTCCTTGCGCAGGCAATTTCACAAAATGGTACTTCAACCGAGAATCGCAAACTTGCGAACAATTCGTATACGGTGGTTGCAAAGCGAATGACAACAACTTTCCGACAGAAATTGCTTGCCACCAACAATGCTTACAGCCAGGTCGAAGAAAAGGTTTGTTTCATTTACATATTGTTATCGCTTTTTATATAAGCATTAAAATTTCGTGTATTTTACAAAAATTATTTATGTGACATTCGTCTACAAATATTTTTTCAAATTACTTTATTATATCAGTATCTGTTATTTATAATGAATCTTGACTATCGACGAGATATTATATGTATATACAATTGTTATTCTTTTAAAATTGATTTCAAGTTTGAAAATTAATGTTTTTTATATGAAATATTAGTACTAATATTTTTATCGAATTAATATTTGTGATAATAATGACTAGAGCCCGGATTAAAGTTCTGAGATCGCATCAACCGTAGCTAGCTAGCTCTCCTTACTACATCTCATCCTCATCGCTTCATCGTTCGCCATAGTTTTGGGTGAGTGTCAATAGGGAGAATCGATGAAGCGATGACGAGGGATGAGATGTAGTGAAGAGAGTTAGCTAACTAACGGTTGATGCGATCTCAGAACTTTAATATAATGTGTGTGTGTGTGTGTGTGTGTGTGTGTGTGTGTGTGTGCGCGCGCGCGCGCGTGCGCGCGCGCGTGTATAAAACATATTTAACTTTTATATATCTATATACAGGGTGTTTGGAAAATAATGATAAATGATTTTTCGCATAGGGGTAGAATGGATTAAAGTGAGAAAAAATTCTTCTACCATTTGCAATTTTCGCAATAGTTAACAAGATATTAATTGCTAAAAATTGCCGAAAATTAGTCTTTAATAATTTTTTATTCAAATACTATCAACTTTACAAAAAAATTGCAAGAGACGAAAATTGTTTATTTTTTTTCATAGAACTCTACGAATTTTTTTCAGAATTTTTTATCAATTTTTTAATTTTCTCATTTTTACCAGTATGATATTAAAAAATTCTGAAAAAATCCTTAAAAAATTCTTGGAGCTTTATGAGAAGAAAATAAACAATTTTTGTCTCCTGCAGTTTTTCTGTAAAATTGATAGTATTTGAGTAAAAAGTTATTGAAGACCAATTTTCGGCAATTTTTAGCAATTAATATTTTGTTAACTATTGCGAAAATTGCAAAATTACAAAGGACTTTTCTTCTCAGTTTAGTCTATTCTGTCTCTATGCGAAAGATTTATCATTATTTTCGAAACACCCTGTATATTTGGATATGGATATAAAAATTTATGGATATCAAAATTAAAGAATCGTCATTTTATATATTATAAAAGAAATTTGTGAGATAAAATTTAAATAAAATTAATAATAGGAATTTAATATTTACAATAATATAATATTTATATTTTTGACTGAAAAATATAATAAAAACACATTACGGGATTATTCAGCAGATAAGTGAAGCATAAATTTATCAATAATGAACAATACTTTTGTAAGTATGTTGGGCTTATTCAAAATACGTTTGCCACCGGTATTACTTCTAATCGTTCTCTAGTCGTTCTTCATCGAATTGATTGCATAGATGGACGAACTTTTACAGTAAAACTGTCTGATGTATGCATCTTGAAGAGAGATCCCGGACCCTGTCCGGGTTCGGCATTACGCTGGTATTACGATATCGAACGTGTCACTTGTAGCCAATTTGTTTACGGTGGTTGCAAAGGCAATGCCAATAGATTCCGTACTCTTGCTGCCTGCCAGCAGCGTTGTCCTTCACAAGGTATAGACAGCAATGAAAAAAGAGCTTGCTTCGTGCACAGTGAGAAAACAAGAGTTATTTTCTTTCTTTTTTTTTGAACAAATTTAGCTCTTAGGTGATGGTAACCGAAAATAGTTTTAATGCAAAGCTGACTATGGATGCATTCATTAGTACTACAATCGCACATTGAGCGGTCTCTTGTACCTGTTTGGCCGCTATTTTTAGATCTAGGAATATACCAATTATATATGCAAGAGCTCACTCAGGTCTCTCTCAGTGAGCGATTGTAATACTGAATGCATCCAATGAGTCGTTATCAGCTACTACATGTCGGCAGCACAATATAAAACTATCGAATAACACAATCACATAATGATTCACAATCGCACGTTAGCTTTCACACAGTTTTTGATTTGTATACACGCTTTTACTTGCTCGTAATCTCGCTCAACACAATATAAAAATATGAATTCTTTAATCTTTCTTACAATCGAATTAACATAAAATATTATATTACATTTTATATATTTAATGTTAAAATTAAAATCTTTTCGCAACACTGGATTAAACACTTGATAAACCTGATTGTAATCAATTAAGAGAGGATTATAATATCTTATAAATTATTTATATACTTATTATAATATTTCATTCTATAAGTTTTTAATTATATAATAATTTTATGAAAAACATATATTCTGTTTGTATGTGTTTAAGACGTGCACATGCGCGCGTATGCATATGTGTGTATACATACATTATAATATTTATAATATTTATGACTCTCTAGTATTAATTAATGTATGGCAGTGACAGAATAGAAATTAGCAAATTTGGGTTCTTATAAACTATTTACTTAAATTGAGTATATTCATAGCTGTTAACTGCTGAACAATCTGGCTAACAGTAGGAATAAGAATTTTTTAACTAACGACAGGTGTAATGAAATAGCTGGAATTGGAATAGGATTGATTAATGTCTTATCTAACTCTGCATGACATAATAATTAATACGATTAACAGATATTTGCACGTTGCCGCGGGCGGAGGGTACATGCGTAGAGAAGCAATCTCGATGGTATTTTGATCAATCGGAGAATCGCTGCATGCCATTCTATTACACTGGCTGTAATGGCAATAAAAATAATTTTGAATCTAGAGACGCATGCGAGTCTGATTGTCCGCCTAAAATTGGTAAGATTTTATTTCCCTTAATATTTATGTCCCCTTCCTCCTTTCTCTCATTCTCTCTCCAATACTTTTTCTATTTCAAATGTTATTATATTTTAAAATATTATATAAGCGCTTCTTCTTTCCGCATTTTTATTATATTAACACTACAAACTCTTGTATACAATAAAAAAAAAAGTTCCATTTAATTTAATTATAAATTAATTGAAAAAAGTTTATATTTAGTTGCTTACAATATGTAATATTATATTACATGTAACACACATTGCAATTTTTTCAATATGTAGAAATTATACGGAAAAATATAATTACTTATGTCAATTTTTTTTTCTATCTATTCTTCTCACATTCTGTAATACAAAAATTTATATTCATAACTTTCAAAATTTGTTATCACTATATTAATTAACACATAATATTGTTAAAAATACTAATAAAGAAAGTAAGATTTCTTAATAATCTTTCTTTATACGATTTCGATCAGTTAGAAAACTTTTTAGCAAGCAATAACATATATAGTACGTAGTAGAATTTTTAAATTCATGTGAATTCATTGAATATAGAGCAAGATATCTGTCTCCTACCCGCTCTTCTGGGAGAATGCCATAACTACACTCAACGATGGTACTACGATTCCTACGAGCAACACTGTCGACAGTTCTATTACGGTGGATGCGGCGGAAATGAGAATAATTTCATAACTGAACATGACTGCATCAATAGGTGTGTAGCGGTTATCACCACTCCGCCTCCACCAGGACAAGTTGAGTTCCAGCCAGGTAAAATTTTTAACAACTTGAAAAATTGTTTAAAAGTAATAACATCACTATTTATCTAGTATCACATATTCTAGAATTCTGCTTCTTACTCGACGAACATGGTCCCTGCTCCGAAAATCAAGTAAAATGGTTTTATGATAGTCGTGATGGTGTTTGCAAACAATTCCGATACGGCGGCTGTCAGAGTAACGGCAATAATTTCAATACTCGCGAAGAGTGCGAATATCGCTGCGGAGAAGTTCAAGGTATATAAGCTATATATAAAAACATAAATACAAGAATGTATAGGTACATGAAAGAATAAAAGTTCCAAAAATTATACTTATAAAAATTATCGAAACTTAGAGCATGTAAAATGAAATTATTTAATTACAGAAAAAAAGTTATTTAATACTTTGATTTACATATTACAAAAACTCAGCAAGTATTGCAACTATCCAAAGAAAATTACGAAAATTTCAGATCCTTGCACTCTACCAGAAGTAATCGGCCCTTGTGACGGTTTCGTAAAGCAATTCTACTATGATAAGCGCACTGATTCTTGCTACGAGTTCGAGTATAGTGGCTGTCAAGGCAACAAAAATCGCTTCCAGGATAGGGAATCTTGCGAGAAAAAATGTAAACGGCAAACGGCTGCGGTTACACCGGAGATTACTCCAACATTAGCCACGTCAACTCCGCCGACTAGAGAACCAACGATTTGCTTAGCGCCAGTCGATTCTGGCGAGTGTAGTGACAGTATCACCGCGTATTACTACGATGCCCAACATCAGATATGTCAGGCGTTTATTTATAGCGGATGTGGTGGAAATGCTAATAAATTTCAAACCGAAGAACAATGCGAGCGACTTTGCGGAAGATTTCACAGACAAGGTTATATAACGAGCTCTAGTATAATTTACATTGTTTTCTTATCACTTTGTAATAAAATCTACATAGGCATCAAATAAACTATTAAATCATTTTAATCGAAAAATAAAATCCTAAAGATTAACGTAGTTTAAAACTATTAGGAATTGTCTCTACTTTTTTAAATCTTTTTATTATACTTTTCACTAAATTTCTTTAAAAAGATTATTTAATATAATTAATTAATATAATTAAAATGAGATTTATTAAATTAATGTTCTCTTTTCAGATATGTGTAATCTCGCTGTGGACTCCGGTCCATGCAGAGGTGATTTCCGCAAATATTATTATGAACCAGGTTTACGTGTCTGCCGTGAATTCATTTACGGTGGATGCGACGGTAACGCTAACAGATTCAGTACAATTTCTGAATGCGAATCTATTTGCATACACCATGAAGAGCCTGTACCTCCCGGAAATGACACTAGCGTTTTAAATTTATGTGCGTATATTTTTATCATTATCTCTTTATTCGTTTCCTCCCAAACAATACTTTCAAGCTGTTAACTTTCATAATCATATTTTTGTAGAATTTTTATACTACTTTAAAATAGATAGATTGTATAACAATGTTTATAATAATGATACAGCAATCTGTAAAGAACCAGTTGATAGTGGATCTTGTACGTCTGGTGCTACAAAGCGATTCTATTTCGACGAGGAACATCAAACGTGCCGGGCGTTTATTTATACCGGATGTGGTGGCAATCGTAATAGATTCAAGACTTTCGAATCTTGCATTAATACTTGCCTTAGGAGTAAGTTTAGGATAAAAAATCGTTAATGAGTTTATTACTCTCTTTTTATTATTGCAGATATTGCCACTCAGCTATGCTACAGTGTACAGCAATTGCTTTTTTTATAAACGTACATGTTTATATACAATTTCCATTTCCTTATTTTCCTATTTCTATATGTTTAAAGATTTTTCTCTTCGCTTTTTTGGTAATTTTATTTATGCGATATTTTGTTTTCTCTATCTCTCAATCCTTTGATTAACATATGATTAAAAACGTATTTGTATCATTTAAAATATATTTAAAAATTTAGATATTTAAAAATTCTTCCGTTGTAATTAAATTTACAATCAGACGTAAACGTGGATAAGATAAAATTATATATATATAAAGTTTTTCTTCTTCAAAATGCAATCGCAAATAAAATGTAATAGCTTTAATAATTTTTACATATCTGATAACATTCAACGCAAATCGACATAAAATTGAAAATGTAGAAGTTTTGTTTAAGTATACGAAAATTTAAAGTATATTTCACCGCTTATATTTTTCTCCTTCGCTGGATGCTAATCGTATTTCTATGCCGCAAATGTGTCAATAGCTTTTATTTCTTCCCTTATATTAAAATTACGCTCACAACTCGAGAAGATATAATTTTTCAGTAATTTTTCTTATAATTACAGCGAGTAACGAAATTGATGTGGATTCGAAGGATACGAAAGATCAATGTGCGGAGGCCAAGGAAGAGTGTAATATTATTCGTTGTCCATACGGTAAGGAACAGTACGTGGATTCGCAGGATTGCGAACGCTGCCGTTGTGTCGATCCTTGTAGAACAAAGATCTGTCCTGAGAGTACTCGATGCGCCATTACACTAGTCGCTACGCAAGATGGCACGGAATACAAAGGCGTTTGTCAGTCGAGTAAGCAACTTATTTTAGAATTTTTATCTTATTTTTACATTTTTTGTCATATTAATTCTTAAATAATTCTTTATACGTATAAATATGTAAGCAACGATCGTAATATTTATATACGTCTAAGAAAAAATTTTATTTGTGCAATAAGCGACATGTAGACAACGGTGCATGTTAAATAATTAACTTTCTTAAAAATTAGAGAGAGAGAGAGAGAGAATGAAAGACAATTAAATTGTTATCATCACTCTTGTATAGAGAAGTATATTTTTAAAAATACACTTTATGTTAAAATTAGTCATCTCCCTATGAATTTGTCTGTAAATAAATAAGTATATATTTTATATATATATTATATATATATAATATACTTATTTATTTATATTTATATATATAAATATATTTATTATATGTGTGTATATATATATATATATATATATATATAATATGTATGTGTGTGTATGTGTGTAACATTGCAGTCGTTAAACCCGGTCGTTGCCCAAAAGTATCCAACAGCACAAGATGTGAACAAGAATGTGTCACGGATGCGGACTGTCCTGGAGAATGGAAATGCTGTAACAGTGGTTGCGGCACATCCTGTCTGGAACCTGCATCAGAAGAAGTTTCGACAACATCACGGCCTACCGTTATCCCGCCACAATATGGTGGTGAACCTGCGATGATTCAACAACCCGAAGAACCTCATGTCAGCGCGCAAGAAGGTGACTATGTTACATTGAAATGCGTCGCACTAGGGACTCCCAGACCAATCATCACATGGAGAAAGGATACTACATTGGTAAATTATGTTACTGTGTATTTCAAATACGCGAAACAAATAATATTTATATTCGAGAAAAATATGATAAATATATAATCATAATTGAATAACTATTTCTCATAATTTTCTGAAGAATTTAAAAATATTTTGTGAATATCGGTTTTAGATTGGGCCTTCAGAGAAAAGACGGCGTATACTACTCGATGGATCTCTTCAGATCATTAATTTATATACTTACGATAGAGGTACTTATGTATGTACCGCTGATAATGGTTTAGGGCCACCGGTAAGGGCGGAGTATCAATTAGACATCACAGGTACGTAGAAAATTCATTTATTTCACAAAGAATGAGTTTTGCTCAATATTAACTTTCGGTAGAATATCATTAATCATGGCATTTTGGTATACTACTTTTGTTATAAATATCTTATGAAATGCATTCGAATATTAGAATAACATAAATTTTTCCATTTTCATTTAATACTAATATCAAATACGTTTACTAAGATATCGATTGTGGATTTACGTTTTAGAGAAATGCATTTGGGCTGGCATGAAATGAAATGAATTTAATAATGTCACATGTACTAGTTATTGGATCAATTAATTTGTGATTTTCGTGGTGATGGTGCAATTAACATTTCTAAGCATCGTGCATGCCTCTTTTCTTGCATTCTTTAGAACCAAATGAACTTCCCGTCGCTATCATCGGAGAGCCCGATGCTCGTATAACGGTGACGATGAACTCGCCGATAACTCTGCATTGTTATGCCATGGGATGGCCGAGGCCATTGGTCACTTGGTGGCGTGGCGATCAAATGTTACCTCTATTTTCGGACAATTACGAGCAAGACACCGATTATACTCTTTTGATACGCTCGGTAACTCTAACCAACCTCGGCGTTTACACTTGCCAGGCGTTTAATGGCATCGGTACACCGGCCTCTTGGTCGACAACCTTGCAAGCAATCGGACCTGTCTACAATGTTAAATCTGAACACGAAGAGTACACCAAGTATCTTGTCCAACCACCGAAGAGACCCACTACCGAAAAACCACAGTATCCTTACAGGCCTACCAGAACGCAGTCTCCAGAACATCAAACTTACGCTCCCGTCTATTCCTCGAAACCACCTCACATCCCTCGTGTTGTTCCTCTTGAAATCACTACCACTGAGCCCAGTAGCGCCAAGTTCAAAGGTGAGGCTGATACTTGATGACTGATACTTATCAGCGTCCAGCATTATATCAACGATTATAATTAAATTAATTTGTTGCTTTAGACTTCTCGTAAAGTTTTCACGTGCATGGATGAAAGACTTATTTTTCATTGTATCTTTCAAATTTTCTCCAAAATGTCCTATTCCGCACTACTGTTCACAATAACGATATGTAATTGAATTTGTCTTGATTAATTTCTTTTTCCTGCATGCACGCCTAATACGAAAATTTACATCGCATTTTATTATAAGGCTGAAGCTGCGTTAAGACAATTCTTGCTTATTGATTGCTATTTCACGTGTATTCTAAGAATTTAATATGATTAACAATGTATCTCTCTATCATTACAAGGAAATTAAATCGATGTAAGTGTATTCCCAAAGGAAGACTTTATACATTCTCTTATATTGAGAGAACATAATTTTTTAATATTTATTTAATAAAGTTTTTAGCTTCGAGAATATTAATAAATCTTATTTTTCAATCACACAGTGCCGGTCAAAGTCAATGTGTCAGCAGGACAATCACAATTCCCTGAAGGCAGTGACATAAGCATCGCTTGCGATGTCGATGGTTATCCGATCCCACGTGTACTCTGGTATAAGGACGACGAACTTATTCGAACCAACAATCGAATAAAGATTTCTGGTAAAATCACACAAGTCCTAATGTCGATACGTTTTTATAAAAAGCAAATTTATTTTCAAAGTTACCAGAAGATTTGCAGGTCCTGATGAAGTAAACGGCTAGGTTGGCATTAGCAATGGAATGAAAACACGGCGATAACTCTCAAACCTTCTGCTATCTTTGAAGATCTAAAATACCCGAATGAAAATCTAAAAAGCGTTATAAAGCAACTGTTTCTTTGCAAATATATTACAGATTAAATTTTGTTCTCTATAATAATAGTAATAGAATGAATGATAACAATATAAATTATATATATTATATATTTTTATTTATGTGTATGTGTGTGTATGTATGTGTGCAGAACTCAATCGACTTATCATTAGCGACGCAAATCGGGAAGACTCTGGCCGATATCGATGCGAAGCAGCCAATGAATTCTCTTCGGATTCTGATAATGTTGATATACGCGTAGCTGGTGAGAATGATTCTGATTCATATCAATATACTTGTATATACATATTTTCTTTATATATATTCCTTCATGTAAACAATTCAATATATGTTTCATTAATATAATTGATTTTTTTCAGGTATCTTTATTCATCCCCATTGCCAGGATAACACGTTTTTCGCCAACTGCGAACTTATTGTTGCAGCCAAGTATTGTACACACAAATACTATGCAAAGTTTTGCTGCCGATCATGCACAGAGGCCGGTCAGTTACCAGCGAGAGGACCTCATATCGATAATTCGAGAAGAAAAAGGAGATTTATTCCGCGAATGCTTGTATAAAACACCAAATTGACTTTTCGATATTTCCGACACACGTGATAGCACGTAGGTAAATATTAACATAAATATCGATTCTTGATTGTAGCCGGCGGGATTCGTAATAGAAAAAAATGAGAAAAAAATTGCGCGTACCTGCTCTTATCGGACGTGCCGGATAATCGATTAATTAAAAATTAAATCACTGCCAAAGCCTTAGAGCGTTTATACATCGGTCTAATATATATATGTATACTATATGTGTGTGTGTGTATATATATATGTACACACATACAGACACACACACCACATATATATATATATATATATATATATATAATATATATATTCTTATCTAAAACGTGCGAAACTGACATCACGCGATTTGGCCTACGCGATCTTGTTCTTCAACGTTTATCCATGTATATACGGTCTGATGCTGTATCCTAGTCCGATGAAGCCATATTAGGCGGGGTAATTAACTACTTGTTCTTAAATGATGAAGTAGAAACGTCGCAATCGCGCATACCTTCCAGATGACATCCTATGTTGTCAAAGTAATCAATGTCGACTGCAGACAGTGCAGACCAAGTGCGATATTTGGCGGATCGTTTATAGAATATGCAGGAAATACTGTTTTCAAATAATATTCTTTTAAATTTAATATATATTTTGTGTAATAATTATACTTCAGGTTAATTGTCGAATATTCATAATTCACAGCAGCGTAATAACGTGCAATTCTTGAGAAATTTCTTTTTTGAAATCAACGGCAAAATTTCAACAATTCCTGCACAATCTTGAAAATATAATCTGAAAAATGTTTATTCATGTGAAACGATATACCATTCCTTTCTACGCAGTATAGTTAGTGCGCATGCTACAATGAAACGATACACAAAAAATAAAGTTTATTTGCATAGAACATTGTGTAACAATAAATTGAGTGAAGTCCTTCTTCATTGGACACATTATACTGCGTAATTAAAAAAGGAATCTGTATCTATATTTGTATTAATATGTGTATTAATATGTGTATGCACTCACATTATGTTGTATAATATAAATAGTTTATTATGTAATATGTCATTTATAATATTTTATTAGTCGGTTTTTACACTCGCATATGTATTATCACATAACGCTACTCCAAGTTATTCTCATTATCTTCCATTACCTCACACACACACACACACACACACACACACACGCGCGCGCGCGCGCGCGCGCATTGTGCATATACATACATGTACGTATACACTATTTTTTTTTCTTTTTTAAAAAAGAGTGCTTAACGTTTCACTAGCAAACGTTAATAGTAAATGGGTGCTTTTCAAATGCTTAATGCATCTTTAACATAGCGTATATAGGAATGCATAAAATCCCTATAGGCGCATAATATTAAATAATATCATGTGCTTATAAGAGTGTAGCATATTATGCACGATTCAATTAAAACAGAATGTGTACGATTTCTGATCGTGATCTGTTTCTGATAGAGTTAGATTAAATATAGCTTTTTCCTCCTATATTGAATGAAAAAAGTAAAAGTATCGGCCACTCAACGTCCTCCAATCTCATTTATAACGCCGCGCGGTTAGTGACATATAATTTTCACTAGAAAACGCAGCTTGTATAGGCCTTGTTCGCGTTGCATGAAATCCTTAAATATTTTTGCACTTAAAATGAGATAGATACATATTTTGCCTTGAAAAGAGAGAAAACGAAGATGTCAAGTGTCAAAAGTACAAGCAACGCGAACAGATCTATAGCCTTCAGGCTGAGTACGAATGTGTAGTCTGTAGTTTTGTATCGACGATTATGACAATCGGAATGCAAAACTTATATCGCTATGCGAACGAAACTGTCCAATGATTTTACAATTGAAAAGCACCCAATGTGTCTATTGAAGATAATGACGAAACAGAACTTCAAAATTTGTATTTAGTTGAGAATTTTGATTTTCAAATTTTGATTATTTTCTTCAAAGATGGAATGAAAGAGATGGATATTTTTTTAGATGGACATGTAGCTTTGATTTAATGTATGTTTGAGAGTTTACTCTCTCTGAAAACAATTTGGATTATATGTAATGAAATGTTTATCCACGGTGAACTTGAGATTGACTGTAAATGCCTATTTGAAATCAGGGTTGATAAGAAATAATTTTTTTTAAAGAATAAAACCTTCTGTTATTTTTTTCAAACATGTTTTTAATGCTTCAACATGCTTTAAATAGTATTAAATAGTATTTTTAAAAAACAATTTAAAACATATTAAAAACATCGATTAAGCATGTTTTAAACAGTTTAAAACATGTTTAAAACATGATTTTTATCAACCCTGTTTGAAACTTTATTATCTATTCTAAAAGTAAACCTATATTTAAACATGAGCCATACAGCACAGATCTCCAAAGGACGTTCTAATGGCCAAAATGTTGTTATGTTGTCCTCTAAATACCTTAAGAATGTTCCTAGAATGCCTAAATGGATAAAATATATTGTATAATATCAATTTTAATATCGATATAACTTTGCGCTCAATTCGCAATATTCTTAAATTGTGCGTCGCATTACATCTTTTACTTGCATAATACATGTACCGTCAATCCTCTACTTTATCTATATAATAATCAGCTATTGCATTCGAATATATATTTGTTGCATGTAACGTTTGTTCCTGAAACATTTTAATCGTAACTATTATAATTACATACTGTTTATTATCTTTATATGCCAAACAATCATTATTCATAATGTAGATCATTGAAAACTGATTGTAAAATTGACAATGATAAAGATAAATGGGAAAAGAAAAGGCAAATCAAAACGCATTTATACACGCATCGTAAATGTAAATCATAAGTCGAGATTGTTACCGATCAGAATCGACATAGGTATTGTAAATTTTTAGATCAACTCCTGAGTGTTCCATACTTGCACCAGTTCAGTCGCAGTAAAACACAGTGCCTTATTAGATGACCTTTAAAATGAATCGGAAAAGAGTGCTGAATATACACGATGTCTCATTAGTGTAAATAGTTATCACATGTACCTTCGTATTTCTTTTCAAGATAATGTCTGGTTGTAGCGTAATAAAACAAAATATAGAGATTAAATTCATTCAGAAGACATATTCATCCAACATATTCGCTAACAAGAATATAGTATCGGTGAAGATATTAAGCACTCTTCTCCTCTATACTCTCTTTTAGATACGATCAAAAGATATGTAATACCGTTATAGTGAAAAGTGTCACTTAGTACTGTCCCATTTAATTCGATAAAGCGATTTTAGTAATTATATTTAAGCAGTCGACGTTGATCAGTTGTTCCCGTAGATTCGAAATTAATTACAGGAGAAAGAATGAATGAATGAAAAACGAAAACGTACGAAAAGGTAATTGCGTGAAAAATCATAAGTGTATCCTATATAGACATAGGTACATTAATATTAGCTGTAGTGGGATTCTCTAACGTTTTAGCGATGATTGTCACTATCATTAATTAGCGACAGCAAAGGCAAGGATGATCCTGGAAAAAAGTGCGGCTCTCACTGGTTGTCGCTAGTTAGCGATAGCATCGTCGATGTAAAACATTAGAGAATCCCGCCGCTTGCGCTGTGTGTATTAATGCGACCTATTGTAAATAATTATTTACATTATATGATTCGAGACGTAATCTTCGAACATGCTCCGTATTTTATATGTAGATATATCATTTTCATGTACCGTTGGTCTATTATTAATTTCACATTATCCAATTACGCGTATAATATTTCGAAAACGTGACATACATATTTGTAACTATCGATGTAGGTGCATTTAGTTACGATCATAAACTTAATTATTGGAACCGCGATTCTCACGACTTTGTATTGAAATTTATCTCGCGCGTAACAAAATTGGCTGATTGTTTGATCATGGCAGAATTCCGCTATGGCTATTGATATTGATCCACATTGATCATTTTTCTTAACATATCCTATAAAGTGTCACACTCATTTTCCATCTCAATTTTGGCGATATTTCATTACGATCGATATCATAAATAAATTTTGACATAAAACTTTTAACCTTTTTGTACAAGAATTTATCAAGAAAAAAATAACCATAATTTATATCTCTCATTACATCTGAATAGAAGTATATATAGATTCATCACACCATAAAATCTTAGCGAATGTAATTGTAATTATAAATATTGTATGTAATGATTAACACACACACACACACACACACACACACACACACACACACATATATAATTTTAAAATAAAAGTAGGTATAAGTATAGGAGAGAATGTCTTTATCTTATACAATTATTGTATGGACAATAATAATATATATAAGATCTTTAAATATATGCGATTACTGTCAGAATGACTATTGTTTTACGTAACAAAAAATCAATCAACGAGATTTATATGAAACAAATTTTTCTTCTAATTATTAGCGATAATAGTTTCTTGATAAAATCAATTACTATGAGTAATTTTATGTATTAGTAACATAAAGAATTCAAAACTCTAAAATACTTATTCCGAATCAAACAGTAATTAACACATACCTATACATGTATAAAATCAAATTTTCTTTGATTCATTGAACAAATTCGTCACGCGAGAAGGACGCATCAAAAAACGCTCGTGTTGTTCCTCAACTCTAACAGTTGTTTCTATACGTTCCGTGGCGATGCGTTCAATCTCCGCGAATAACTCGCTGTTTACTTCTATGCAATGACGAAAGTCTTTACGATCTAATCGATACACCTCACAGACTTCGACTGCGACAACACTAGCTACTCTTCGCCGATCCATCACTAAGAGTGCAATTTCGCCGAAATAGGCACCGTCATTCAAATGACACACCTCAAAATAACAAAGAGTAAATTTCTTTTTCATAACATATAAACGTAAATCCAATTTGAATATTTAAAAAAACTAACTTCCTTTCCAGTTGGCGTCAAAACCGCAACAGTCCCCGAGGCTAAAAAGTACATACAATCGCCCTGAGTACCAGCTTTAATGATTACGTCATTTGGCAAATATAACTCAAATTTTAAGCGCTTCACTATTGATTGCAGAATATTTCTTGGTAAATTTTTAAAAATGTCCACGTTTTCGATTAATCGTCGACAAGACTCAAACGCGATCTCTTCTCGCAATGGTTCTGCAAAAAATCCAAGGGGTCTTTTACTCTCGCGAGTCACAGCGAGTCTTAGCGAGTCGGCGCGTTTAAGAAACGAGTCAGCGCGAATCAACGAGCGCAAATAACAAAAATAGTGCAAAGAATCAGTAG